TTTCCCGAGAAAGTACCATTAATTAGCCGCGGGTATGCGCACTACCATTAAATCCCTTCAAATCCGCCGTGTTGCCGCCTGGCACTCTGCTCGACTGCCCATTCCCCCGTTCGCTTTGCATGAAGACGATTACGTCAGCCAGTCCGAGCCGCTATAAGTCGCTGTAAGAGCCTTTCTAGATACACAGACGCCGGTCGTCGTCTTCTCGTAGTGAGTGCGAAGCGGCGTTCAGGAGAATGGCCGGCAACATTACCGACACACTGGAGAGGGTCCTCTCTACGCCCGGATATCGGCCAATCCCAACACTCCCTCCAGGACGGAGTGAACTCACCGTCGTAGGCACACACTCCTGCAGCCCAAACGAGGCCCCCTGTCCGATGGAGGGGAAGTAGATACAGCAGCAAGCTTTGGGACGTGCCTCACCCTCTACTCCGGCAGAAACAGGAACTGCCGTAACTGTATGATAACAACGTTTCAAATCAGCATCTCTTAGACAAAAGCTTAAATTACTAACTCAAATACAACTCCTAACAGCTTTCATTGTTTCAAAGCCTCTTTTTAGTTTTAAACCTGATGATTACATAAGCATTCTTAGTTTTTGCAACGGTCCTGTAACATACCGAACTTTTATAATAAAAATGCCAACATTATACCTTTTTCTAGAATAGGAACTCAATATGATCCTCAAGTTAAAACATAATGGAACGAGTTGTCATCGAAGGTTGATTTAACATCGCAGTTTTATCAGTGGATGTATTGCTGGAACTAACTTGTTAAACAGCTTGACCAAGCAGCGGAACAGCAAGCGCGACTCCAGTCAGGATAGAGACCAGGATCTCAAGTCACCCGCTGCAGGACTCGCTGTTGAGGGCTATGATAGCCCACTCCCCTCCACACCAGCTCCACAACCGTAGGACGGACCCTCCGCTTGAACGCGCCAACCGGAGGGTAGGGTGCAAGGGGGGCGGTTTGGGAATGGGCCATCGTCACTGCTACAAGAAAGATGCACTTCTCCCAGACCAGCGTTGATCTCAGATTATAATCCTGACAAAAATCTGAAGAGAATGTCAGATGCAGTTATGTCAGAGTGGAGCTTTCTGTTTAAGGTTTTGAGCTCTTAAATTGTTACTGACCTGTTGGACTATGAATCTATTAGGCCAGGTACATTTACAATTAAATGTTCGGATCTTAGTGACATTGAATATTGGCTACCTCATATTTCTTTGTTAAGCAAAAATGCGTAAAATAATCTGTTCAGCAACAGGACCACCTGCTGCACCCTTATATAATTGTCATTGTGATATCTGCTTTTGTACTTACGTTTCAAAGGCTGTAAGGACTACAGTTTGGCACTGTTCTATAAATGAACAAATTTTCTCACCACACTTTGAGTCATTTTGTCCAGCATATTGCAAGCTGTAGAACTCTCTCGCTCTAGTCATGACCATATATTGGTATAATTGATGCTTTCAGTTTCAGTGAATTAATCAATCCAAGTCAATGGAACACTACACAAGATGTACCCAAAATCAACACTGTCCCTTAAAACTTTCGAGACACAAATGATGTATACAGTGTAATCGGAAGTTATATCCGAATCGTATCGTTGCTGAATATCGTCGATAATAAGTATTCGTATCGTGACCTCACTACTCGTGTATCGTATCGTAATCGATGAGATTAGTTGAGTATCGCTACAGGCCCTAGTCGACAACTGACATTGCGATATACCATTCTTCCCCTGCGAATAATATTCAGTGACTATGAAAAAATACCAGGAATGGAAGACAGGAACACGTTTTTACCTGCTCCGCAACCATCTTCTTGACTAATGCTATACAACTTGAAAACATTCAGTAATAGCTTATTTTTAGGCAGCGTCTGCACTCATCAAAATAATGTCGCCTATGTTTACAAAGTGTTTTTTGGACTTTGGTTTTTGAGTGGTTGGAATACCTACTTTTAGAGATATGGCACAGCACACACGACACACACACACACACACAACACCACACACACACACACACACCACACACACATCACACTCACTCACTCACTCACTCACTCACTCACTCACTCACTCACTCACACACACACACACACACACACACACACACACACACACACACACACACACACACACACACACACACACACACACACACACACACACACACACACACACACACCTGGAATAAGCAAATGGACCTGACTTGCCTAACCAATACCTCATAACCGTAGTTTCCTCTTGTAGTAAGAACTGTGTTTGTCACATGAGTGTGCCGTTGGTTTTGAACCAGCTTACAGTTTCACTTGCTCTAAGACGTTGAAGCAGAGTCTGTTGCTTTCACCTGAATAATTTTGCGTTGTGATGAAGACCACAGTGATCAGAATACCGTGCAGTAGCTAAAAGCAGAATAACAATAAATGAGGAAACGTGTTTTACTGCAGATATGAAAACTTTCTGATGGCTTCTGTGCTCTTCAGTTTTCACCTCCATCTTGTCTGTGTGATAAGTGTGCACTGGAGACAAACGGGTGTGATTGGCCGCATCCTGTGATTGATGAACCAATAACTGGGCTTGCTGATCCACCAGATTGCTTTATTATTGATGTTATATTTTTGAACATCAGAGCCAGTGCTGCTCTGACTGTAAGATGCCTCGCTCTTTTAATGTAACATGCTCAGACTAGAGCTGCTGGCAAAATCACAACATGATGTTTTTTATTACTGGTCAGTTTTATTGTTTTCAGCCAGACTGAAATGTGATTAAGGATGCTGCATGTTATGTATTGTGGCTCGCTGATGGCCCGGCCTCCCTCTGGGGCCGTTGCCTTGACACAGACTACTGTGAAGGAAGGATGAACTAAATGACACAAGCACAGCTGGTGGGACGAATATCTAAAGGGCTTTTGGAGGGAATAATGAAGTGTGTTCTTATTTAAGCAGCAGCCATCATGGGAAGGTCAGATCAGACACAGCTGCTTCTTTCTTAATCCTGGAGTTCCTGGGATCTCCGTTTGGGAACCACTGTGCTAGGGGGGTCGAGATCCAGCCAATCAGACAGGCTGCAGTTCTTTAGACAGTCAGATGAGTGCTATGTCATTTACGGATGCTAACGTCTTCCTTCCTCTGTTGAGGAACTGTCTCCAGATTGAAATGTGATTAGAGATAGTGTACATTTAATTGTTTTTGTTGATAAGAATCCAAGAGTTACATGTTTTTCATCTCAACATATTTTCCATGTATTGCTCTCTCTTTTCATCATTAGTGCTACAGAAACCATATGCCAAGCCAAGCTGAATTGTGTTTACATTCCATGAAAACAAGACAAAAAAAACATATAACCGTGCTGCCTGGTGGCCGTAATGTTGCAATGCAACAGTTTGAATTGTATTTGACGGTACTTAGTAACTTTCTCACCATGCAGATGTTAAATGTTACTGAGTATGTACAATTATGGAGCTTGGCTTATTTGTGAAAAGAAAAAGATTTAGGAAAATATGTGTGCATATCTTTTTATATTTCTCAAACCAACGTAATGTATTGGAAACAAATTACTTCAGCCAGACTCAAAACTCAGTGTGGAGATCTCTGTAATGCAGATGTATTCATCAAAGGTTTGGAAAGAAATATTGGAGAAGTCAGCAAGAGTAAACCACTTTTTTAAATGATCCAACCGAAAACCTGAACGTGACAGACTCTTTTCCTATAAAAGAAGCAAGCAAACCTGTTACTAAATCTAGAGAAAAATTCACTAATTTAGCAACACTGACTCCAAAGCTACTTCCCAAAAATAATTTCACATATATTATCTACACTTTATTTACCTACAGCAGGGGTGGGGAACCTTTTTCCTCTCAAGGGCCATTTCAATTTTTTCAATTTTAAATGCATCAATCTGGTGCACTTTGAGAGCAACATTAAGAGATCTATGGATACATCTCTCAACACCCATATGAAACAGAACTGTAAGCAGATGTTCTTTTTCTTTATGGATATTTTACAAATCACTCTCCTTTCAAACTGTATTCTTGTTTATTAATAACAACTTTTTTTTACTGTCATATAGTATTTTATACCTGTTTACCTCATTCTCTTATTTTTTTTATAACTATAATGATCATTTAAAGATGTGCCTTTACTTCACTGGTTGAAGGAAACGCTTGTTATATTCGTTAGCATAGCTAACTAAACCGGATGCTATTAACAACAAAGTTATTGACTGTATGATCAGTATGACAGATGGCCACTGGGCTTACAACTAAAGACACAGGCACGCGAAAACTGCGGCATGTGTACGGCTCCTTATGGGTACTGCAGTCAGTCAGTCAGTCAGTCAGTCAGTCAGTCAGTCAGTCAGTCCGACTGACGGACAACTTCTCACTTCAAAAAAGAAGAAGAAATCTAGATCGCAAAATAATTAAACAAGCGAGTGCCTGTTTTTCCTGGCCGAGGACAGGTTCCTTGAACACAACACGAGCGTAACGTGTCTTCACGTGGTTATGTCTCGTCTGAAAGGAGTACTGACGGAGAGCACCGGAACGCCGCTCCGGCTCTTCAAATATTGCAGTACCCATAAGGAGCCGTACACACCGCAGTGTTTGCGTGGCTGTATCTTTAGTTGTAAGCACAGTGGCGATCTGCTGTTATTAGCATCTGGTTAGCTAGCTAGGCTAACAAATTTAAAGAGCTTTTCTACAACCAGGTGGAAGAGAGCTCTCCTGAGAGGCTCAAATAACCTCAGCTCAGTGAGGTTAAGGCACACCTTGATATGATCATTATAGTTATTAATGAGACATTAGAGACTAAATGAAAAACAGGTATAAAATACTATGACAGTAACAAAAAAGTTGTTAAAAATAACAAGAATAGAGTTTAAAAGGGGAGTGATTTGTAAAATATCCAAAAAGAAAAATCTGCTTACAGTTCTGTTTCATATGGGTGTTGAAAGATGTATCCATA